AGGGAGAACAGCATAAAGAGATGCAGTATGGTTGATAAATGGTCGAATAGTGATTTTATAAAATGAAAATCGTATTTGACAAGTTTTATCTTTTCTTGTCGTTGCCAAGTATCATATCAAATTATATCCTTTTATCTTCCCAATACAGTGTGACATGTTATTTAAAAAAAGTTGGTCTCATACTATTTGAGAACAGGCAAATACTAGGTTTGTATCCTAAACCCAATGTGAGATAAATGTCCTTAACTGTGTTATTAGATATGTTCCTATGGTTTTGAGTCTGGAGGTATACTTTGGCAGATCTGATAAATCTTTTCGAATTTTCTTCAGTGAATCAGCAAGTTTCCAGGGTCCTCATAGACCAGTGCTATTAGTTTTGTCGATTGTTTCAAAGGTGACCTTCACAAATCAAAGCTAGAGAGAGCTTCATCTCTATAGCATTATATTTTTTTTCTTCAATGGGTGGTAAGGAGGAAACAGACACACAGGGGCCAAGTAAAGGAAACTAAACTGTTGTACATTTACTCTGGGCCAATTCTGTGGAAAGCCCCAATTTCAGGCAAATTTCATTTCATCACACTTTTATTTTATTGCATTTTGCAGATAGTACATCTTCCTGTAAATCGAAGGTTTGTGGCAACTCTGTGTCACACAAGATTATTGGCATCATTTTTCCAACCGGCTCAGATGATGATTAGCATTTCTTAGCAATAAATTACTTTTTAATTAAGTTATGTACGTTTATGTACATCATCCTCTTGCACACTTAATAAACTACAATATAGTATAAAATAACTTTTATATGTGCTGGGAAACCATAAAATGTGTGTGACTCACTTTATTATACTATTCATATTATTGTGGTTGTCTGGAACTGAACCCACATTATTTTTGAGGTATGCCTGTATTTAAATCTTACAAGAATTGGTAGAAGTGTATTATTATTATTCCCAGAGGATGAGACAGAGTTGGGGAAGTTCAATAATTTGTTCAGGGTAACACAGCTACCATGTGGTGGTACCTGCATTTATATGTGTGTTAGGCTCGTATAAAAAGCCAAGCTTTTTACTGTAAACAGTTCTAGAGTGTTGGGATTCCTTAACTTTACTAGCCTTTGTCTGATAAAACTGTGGCTCTTATCTAATTTTCCCAAGACACATAGCAATTATTTAGGCTTGTATGGACATGTTGGAATCAAGCAGGACCATGGGTTCCTTCTACAAGGCATTTCACAATAAATACTATGAGGAAAAACTATGTGATACCAATCTACAAGAAGATTGCAACGTCCCATATTCTTTTGATGATGGGAAAGCTGATAATATCTGATCAAAGTGAATATTTATTCTTCTACCTATTTTGTATTTCCTATGCTATGATAGCATAGTAATTTATTCCTAAGGATTTTAAAACAAAATCCACATCTTTTATTTTAGTCTTTAATTTTGTATTCCACTAACAAAACAAAACAAAACAAACAAACAAACAAAAAACACTATTCTTCACATCTTGTAGAGACATACTTTTATATGTGCTGGAAAACCACAATCTTATTTCATATTTCCCTTGCTCTTTAGTAGAAGAAGAAACGTTAAAGATTTAGAATTGTAAAGCTTCGTTTTCTTTAAAACAAAAGTAATCAAAATAAATGGCATGATAAAAAGTGTTATTAAAGGTGATGGGATGTATTGCAAATGCCAGCTGGTATCTTTTCTCTAGGTTTAGCAATTGTCAGCCAATTTAGGCTCAAGTGGTAAAAGAAGCTTTGTGGGTAAAAATCAGGTTGGAAGTAGCCAAGATTCTCCTCCAGGTCTGAGGATCACTGTGTTCTGGTGCCTAATATCAGAGTGCCATAGTCCTCAAGAGGTGGAACCATCTCCATATCGTTGGTAGATGAACTTGAAGGACCACTGAATCAATTCTCCTTCACTGAGTATCTGAGGAGTTGTTTGAGAGGCTCTACAACTTCTACCTGACTGTAAAATTACAGAAGGGGAAAGTTCAATCACATCACTATTAGCTGCAACCTGCAAGAGTGTATTGCTCTTTATCCCCTAACAGACACCCTTTCACAAAGAGCAAAGGACATGGGAGAGAGATTTTTCGGAATTTTCTTTTCAGGGCTACCAAATAAGGATATTATGAATTGCTGGAACTAATCAAAAATGCAAAGGAAAGATTCGTTTTCTATTTTGCCCTTTTTGAAAACATGTTTAAAAAACAGATTACTGCTATATACAAAGAACAAATCAAAGCACAGTACTATCAAATAGTCATATATTATTTCTCAGGGAGAGATTGGCAAGATAAACATGAAATATTTGATGAGGATGATAGTGTAAGTGAAAAATGCTATGCTCCATGAAATGATTCCAGGTTCTTCAAAACTGACTCATAGAAAAACATTCTTTATGAATGTACTAGAGAACTGTGCATGAAATTTGTTTATTGGGAGCGGGAGGTGTCCCTCAGCCCAGCCTGCACCCTCTCAAAATCCAGGACCACTCAGGGGATGTGTGATGGCTGGATTAGGCCCTATCCCCAGGACTGGGCCTAAGACAGGCAGTCAGACATTCCTCTTGTAATCAGGGACCGCTCGCCCCTAACTGTTTGCCTACCAGCCTGATCACCCCTAACCACTCTGCCTGCTTGATTGCCCCTAACTGCCTCTGCCTGCCTGATCGCTCCTAACTGCTTCTGCCTGCCTGATTGCCACTAACCACTCTGCCTGTCTGCCTGATCGCCCCTAACTGCTTCTGCCTGCCTGATCACCCCTAACAGCTTGCTGTGGTTGTTCTGGTCTCTATTTGTTCTGGTTGTTCTGCCATTTTGGTCACTGGGCTTTTATTATATAGTGTAATAATTTACAACCTATTTTAAATATTTCATTTGGAAGCTCTTTTGCACTGATTATTTCTGTTCAAGCTTATTGTCATAAATAAATAAAAAAATTAAAATATATATTTTTACTTTTTAAAAATCAGAAAAAACGGCCTCTGCATTAAGGTAATCATGTCCATTGCAGGGCGGGGGGGGGGGGGGGGTGGTGGCAGGGGGGGGGTGACTTATCAAATCCACAAAGAAAACACTCCCTGGAACCAATGGAATTAGATTATCTTTGAATTCTCACCCCAACTTTGAATAGTCACTAATTTATTTCTTTGCTCTTTTGGTGTTTGCAAAGGGGTTCACTAAAGCCTGAATTGATATAATTATTGGCTCAGATTGTTAGAGATCTGGGCCAGATGGCTGTGGGTTTCTGAAGTCCCAGTAGCTTGGGGTAGTTTTCCTAGTTTGCCTGTAGGGTTTGGGGATCAGCAGTTTGAAAGGGCTACAAACTTGTATAAACAGTATTATGCATGGGGGTGGAATGCTCATCAGCGTGACCCAGCACTAAATACATTCATTATAGGCATTTCTATTCTGCACAATTTGCCACACAGCACTGGTTTCTGGAGAGGGGAAGACAATGGCTTATAAATGCCTCTGAATGCCTGCAGACGAAGGGGAGTTCATGCTGAGACTCCTCTGCTTTCTTTTTGGGAGAGAACCTTCTTAGTGACTTTAGCTGGGCTCTGCTGAGAGTAAGCAAAGTGGAAAAATCAGAAAATTACTTTTTTATATATACATGTTTCTGGGGGGCAAAATAGAGGGCGGGAGAAAATAAATGGAAAAAAGTGGCAGTGAGATTATGCGAAGCAGCAAATATGCAAGTGGATCAAGACAGCTGAGGAATAATGCAAGAGGTATGGGGGGAAAAAGCAGCAAGAACAGCGTCCCGATGATAAACTTAAAAGGAATTGCAGAGCAGAAAGAACATCATAAATAATCATATTTTCAAATAGGAATACCATCTCAGTGCCTGTGACCTGGATAGTGCACAGCCTCCCGTGATAGTTCCTAGCATTTTGATGCACACAAAATGCAATTTTCAGCTCAGGCATTTTACTTTTTCAATATAAACAAGCTTTGGGTTTTTTTTTGTTTTTTTTTTAATAGATATCTGAAAAGTGTTTTCATAAATAATGCATATTCTTATAACAATTTGACTTGTAAACTATGGAGCCCCTGTGTGCCACCCCGCCTACCCCCACTCCCAGGATTCACTGTGAAGGCCCATCATGTATACATAATACCTTTTGGTAGGCATTGGCATGCTAAAGCATGAAATGCCTTTACCCAAGATAAACAGGAGGATTTTTTTTAAGGTACAGGACAAAGAAATATCATAACCAATTTTACCCAAAGAAGTGATGTAAGGTAGAAGTACATGGCTAATTAATTTGAAATCCTAAGGTGTTCCTTTAAGTCTTGCTAATCAAGAATAATAAAAAAAAAATAACCCCTTTCTTATCTTCAAAGAATAAAGATGAAAGAAACACAGAGAATGAAACATCTTCATTTGGTTCTGTTCCTTATAACACAGCCCCAAGACACTGCCCTTGCTCACAGAGAAGATCCAAGTAAAGGCGGGGTGGCGTGGGGGGTGGGTAGAGAGATGGGCTGAGAAGCATAATTAGAAGCAAGTTTTCAAATTTCATTAAATCCCTCCACCAACCAAATGCACTTAGAGGTATTGTAAGTTAAACCGGCACTTAAAGACTATGAAAAGCAAGATGATTGCCTGTTGGTGGAAGCAGAAAGCCAATTAAAAGAAACCAGAACCATTTAGAATGCCATATAAACACTGGCGACCAGAAGTTGATTTAAAGTTTTTTTGTGTGTTTCTTCTGTAATTTGTCTCCCCTTTGTCGCGGCACGCTCAGAGAAAGTGCATGCAGGAGAGGGGAGGGCGGAGGGAGTGGGGAGGGGAGGGAGGGGAGGCGCAGTCTGGGAGCTGCTTCCCACCCCGCTCTCCTCCTTCCCGCGCCCCCGGCCCGCGCCCCCCTCCTCCTCCGCGCCCCCCTCTCCTCCTCCCGCCCCCCACCTCCTCCCCAGCCGCCGCCCTCCCTTCGGGGACTCCATCGGCTCGGATTTGGAAGCTCGCTGATTGGCTGGAAGCGATTCAACACACGCCGGGCCAGAGCGCTTTGTCTGAGTTGGAGCGAAGTTGTAGGGTTTTCAGACCGGAGTCAGCGATCGCGGCTGAGGAGTCTGCAGCCGAGCGGAGGAGACCGGGAGGAGGAGACAGGGAGGAGGAATCGCCGGGGAAGGACCCGCCGCGGAGGCTGCCGCCACCCGCCACCCCGCACCCCAGCACCCACCCCGCCACCCGCCACCCGCCACCCCCGCCCTGGATGGCTCGGGAGGACGCGCCGGGAAAGCCGCGGAGGAGGAGGTGACGCTCGGATCCCGCCGGCCCCGCGGACGGACAGACAGACCGCCCGCCAGCCCAGCCCTAGGCGAGCCGAGCGCCCGACTCCATGCCCACCGCCCCGGGAAGGCGTGCCACGGTGTGTATCCCACGAAAGTTTGCGGGCGGTGCCTTGCTGCGGGGCTATCTCAGAGCCGCCTCCAAGCTGCAAGTGCCAGATGTAGCTTCTTCGCTGTAAGTTGCCGCCAAAGGGAAGTTGGGGGGAATTGCTTTGCCGCGGTGACACTCGCGTGGCGGTGAAAGGAGCCCCTTCCCTCCCCAGATACCGATCGATCGGTGTGTGCCAAATGAATGCCAACATGCACTCCAGACTCGTGTTTGCGCTCCTGGTGGTGTCCTTCCACCCCCAGGTGCTGGGCAAGAACCTCAAGTACAGGATGTATGAGGAGCAGAGGGTCGGGTCCGTGATCGCGAGGCTGTCGGAGGATGTGGCCGATGTGCTCGCCAAGCTGCCGTACCCTTACGTGCGCTTCCGAGCCATGCAGAGGGGCAACTCGCCTCTGCTGGTGGTGAACGAGGACACCGGGGAGATCAGCATAGGGGCCAAGATTGACCGCGAGCAGCTGTGCCAGAAAAACTTGAACTGCTCCATAGAGTTCGATGTGATCACCCTGCCCACCGAGCACCTGCAGCTCTTCCACATCGAGGTGGAGGTGCTGGACATTAATGACAACGCCCCCCAGTTCTCCAGACCCCTCATCCCCATAGAGATATCCGAGAGCGCCGCGGTGGGCACTCGGATCCCCCTGGACGGGGCCTTCGATCCGGATGTGGGGGAGAATGCCCTCCACACGTACTCGCTCTCGGCCAATGAGTTCTTCAGTATTGAGGTCCGGACCAGGACGGACGGGGCCAAGTATGCAGAACTCATAGTGGTCCGGGAGCTGGACCGGGAGCTGAAGTCCAGCTATGAGCTCCAGCTCACGGCCTCCGATATGGGGGTGCCTCAGAGGTCCGGCTCGTCCATCCTAAAAATCAGCATCTCGGACTCCAATGACAACAGCCCCGCGTTTGAGCAGCAGTCTTACATAATACAACTCCTAGAGAACTCCCCCGTGGGCACTTTGCTCCTAGATCTGAATGCCACCGATCCAGATGAGGGCGCCAATGGGAAAATTGTGTATTCCTTCAGCAGTCATGTGCCTCCCAAAATTATAGAGACTTTTAAAATTGATTCAGAAAGGGGTCATCTGACTCTTTTCAAGCAAGTGGATTATGAGATTACCAAATCCTACGAGATTGATGTTCAGGCTCAGGACCTGGGTCCAAATTCCATTCCGGCTCATTGCAAAATTGTAATTAAGGTGGTGGATGTTAATGACAATAAGCCGGAGATCAATATCAACCTCATGCCCCCTGGGAAAGAAGAAATATCTTACATTTTTGAAGGGGATCCCGTTGATACGTTTGTTGCACTGGTCAGTGTTCAGGACAAGGACTCTGGGCTAAATGGAGAAGTAGTTTGCAGGCTTCATGGACATGGCCACTTTAAACTTCAGCAGAGTTATGAAAACAACTATTTGATCCTGACCAATGCCACCCTGGATAGAGAAAAGAGATCTGAATACAGTTTGACTGTGATTGCTGAGGACAAGGGGACGCCCAGCCTCTCTACCATAAAACATTTTACTGTTCAAATCAGAGATATAAATGACAATCCACCCCACTTCCAGAGAAGTCGATATGAATTAGCCATCTCTGAGAATAACTCGCCAGGGGCATTTATCACCACTGTTACCGCCACAGATCCTGATCTTGAAGAGAATGGGCAAGTTACATATACTATTTTGGAGAGTTTTATCCTGGGAAGCTCCATAACTACATATGTCACCATTGACCCATCTAATGGAGGCATCTATGCCCTCAGGAACTTTGACCATGAAGAAGTGAGTCAGATAACGTTTGTAGTTGAAGCAAGGGATGGAGGGAGTCCGAAGCAACTTGTAAGCAATACTACAGTTGTGCTCACCATCATCGATGAAAATGACAATGTCCCCGTGGTCATAGGGCCCACCCTGCGCAATAATACCGCAGAAATCAACATCCCCAAAGGGGCCGAAAGTGGCTTTCATGTCACAAGAATAAGGGCAATCGACCGAGATTCTGGTGTGAATGCTGAACTCAGCTGCTCCATAGTAGCAGGCAATGAGGAGAATATCTTTATAATTGATCCACGGTCATGTGACATCCATACTAATGTGAGCCTGGAGTCTGTCCCCTCCACAGAATGGGAACTCTCAGTTATCATCCAGGACAAAGGCAATCCTCAGCTGCATACCAAAGTCCTTCTGAAGTGTATGATCCTCAAATATGCAGAATCAGTGACAAGCACAGCAAAGACCCCAGCAAGCCAGGAATCTTTGGATGTCTCCATGATTATAATTATTTCCTTAGGAGCAATTTGTGCAGTGTTGTTGGTTATTATGGTGCTGTTTGCGACAAGGTGCAACCGAGAAAAGAAAGACACGAGATCCTACAACTGCAGGGTAGCAGAGTCAACTTACCAGCACCACCCCAAAAGGCCCTCCAGGCAGATTCACAAAGGGGACATCACATTGGTGCCTACCATCAATGGCACTCTGCCTATCAGATCTCATCACAGGTCGTCTCCATCCTCATCTCCTACCTTAGAGAGAGGGCAAATGGGCAGCAGGCAGAGTCACAACAGTCACCAGTCCCTCAATAGTTTGGTGACAATCTCATCGAACCACGTGCCAGAAAATTTCTCATTAGAGCTCACCCACGCCACTCCGGCTGTTGAGGTAAGATCATACACTGCACCAATTCACTGACAAAGTAGCTGCTAGTGCACAGAAGTTGTGTAAGTGTTAGTTCTGGGGTGTTTTCTTTAATTAATAACAGTACTAACAATATGAAAATTAAGTAGAGTACAAGTTTCATTATGCATATGTAAGTACACACATCTGAGCATACTGTTTCAAGTTTTAAAGAATTTACTTGCATGTATAATATTGAAAATAAAATGAAGCTCACAAAGGACTGATTAGAATCCCCATACTTCCAAGATTAAGATACTGGAAGCAAAAATAAAAATAAAATAAATAAATGGACTTGCTTTATTGTCATACCTCCTGTGGTCTTTACAAAAAAAAAAAAAAAAAAAAAGGCCCAAACAAACAAAAACCTGAGTTGGCATTTTTCTGACATTATTTTATTTAACTGCATGTGTTAGAATATTGTATGTTAGAGAATTTTTCTATGCATTTTTATAATGGAACACTTTAAGCTGAACTATAAAGAAAATAGACTTGTATGTCATTTATGAAGGAGTCTTCTTTCAAAAAGGTGCCCGTTGTATTAGATCATTCACATCTCTCTGGGATGCGTTCAGGTATATCAGGTGGCTAGCTGCAGAGTCTGCCACAGCTCAGCACATGTAAGTGTTTAAAAGGGAGAGGGCATGTTCATTGTTTTTCCTTGCTGAAGGCTTGTGAGTACTGGGGTTTGTTTCCAGGAAACAGTTCTGTCTATTTGGTTTCCAGCAGGTCTCCCAGCTTCTTTCAATGCTTCACCAGGGGCAATATCAGCCAAGGCCAAGTTTTCGAGGAAACAAATATTCTAGGAGCTATAGGTATGCATTACTCTTGTGTTGCCTGTTACGTGTCACATAACATGGATGCTAAAGAATAAAAACTGTACGTTCCCTGATTTATCTTTCTAGATATGCCCTTCAAGACATGGACAAATTTAGCTTGAAAGACAGTGGCCGTGGTGACAGTGAAGCAGGAGACAGTGATTATGATTTAGGGCGAGATTCTCCAATAGATAGGCTGCTGGGTGAAGGATTCAGCGACCTGTTTCTCACAGATGGAAGAATCCCAGCAGGTAAGGGGGTAGTGACAAGTGAATCCTTATTTTCACATCTATTATACCAGTGAGGTGAACAATTTCTTCCATGCTTATATTCTCTTTGTCCTTGTAATCTGCACACTATTAGCAATGAATACAGACTGGAACACTTTGAAGTTATTTTCTTAAAATTCATGTGAAGCAGTTGGTAGAGAAAAGGAGTAAGCATGAAAGCTTAACAAGACAAGAAGGAAAGTCTGGGCAGAGAGGGATAGAAAACCACACTGCTTTCCTCCTTTCCCTACCCCATCCAGTACTGTCAGAGGACACTCTTGAGCAACTCTCTATAAAATTATGGGGTGGCTGTTTTCATTGAGACAGCCCATTTTGGTGCATGGTGGTGAACTTGACTATAATTTGGAGGACACATTTCCTGTGATGGGAACCAACTCACAAAAAACAGATTAAAATATACTAGGAAACGGTATACTTTGCTCACTAAAAATAAGAGAGAAAATACATCTTTGTAGGTGGTATGCACAGAGTATTTTTCACCACCTTTCATTTTGTCTACACTGGCATGCAAGAGAAACAGGAGTCCAAGAGAGGAATTGGTAAGTATACAGCTGGATGGAGGGAAGCTTAGTAAGTTATGAGCCACTTTCTCCCTAGCATCCATTCTCTCTAATTGTGCAGTAGCAACTCTCTGAACCAACTGGGTAAATACTGGCTATCATTGAAGCAGCCCTGTGACTAAAGGCTGTAATAGCCAATCAACTCCTAGGAGCACACAGATGTTCCTTTGGCTACATGTGTTTCTAAATTCTACTGAGTGTTGACCTGGTGACTGTTATTTGGTAAAGGGAAGGCAAAAGAAAGCTATATTATCTGTCTGAGTGCCATAAAACATCTATTTTCTACATACTGTATAGTTCAGTAAGAGTTTTGGGACTAGACATGTGGGAGCTTCAGAGAGCCACAGAAATGCAAGCAAAATGAGTCAATAGAAACTCTAGCTCTTGTGGTTACTGGAGTGGTGGTAGCAGTAGCTGCAGGAGACTTAGTATCAGTCACAGTAGTCACAGTAGTAGTTGCCAGTGATGTCCCCATGCTTACTCCAGGTCCATGAGTGTTCTACACTTGCACTGCTCCTCCCAACACGTGGAAGTAGGAATTAGTAACAGTAGCTCATTGTTATTACATTAATAGATAGTGCATTTCTGGCAGGATGATGGATGTATGAAAAGGACTTCTGGTTACATATAGGGCTACATGAGAGCCCATGTTTGTCCACATGTCTTTGTTGTTGTGGTTTTTAATTCATAGATTTCCTTGACCAATTTAAAGAGAAAGCTCTGGAAATATAATGGCATATAATATATAGCTTCAGACTTGCTAAAAGAGAATCAGTTTTATTATTCTTACCTATGAAATGTATAGATTCTGTGTGTGTGTGTGTGTGTGTGTGTATGAAATTGCTGAATTTCCATGATTTTATGACACTGACAGAACTTTTTAATTTTGAATATTTGATTTACCAAATTACATTATTTCATAAGGCATAAAAATAACTTCATGGGCATAATGTTAATATTTTCTTATGTGTTATTTTTTAATTATATGAAGTCTATACATTGAAATTTTAATTTAGCAGCATAGTTAAAAAGAGAATAACTACCCCTACTTATATAACCTAGCCATTTGGGGGCCTAAATGAATTCTGTGATTCTAATATCTAACCATGGTCTAATTAAAAAAAAAAAAAAAAAAGATCAAGACTTCTCTTTCACTTTTTTCCTGTATTTTCAAAGTTATCAACACCAGGTATGTTCATGACAGAAGTGTTATCTAATGCTTGAGTTAAAAAATAAAATAAAAATAAATATTAAAGAATAAAGACATTGGAGGAACAATAGGTAGCTATAAAGCCTAGATATTAGTGAGTCTTGTATAGTGACTGACTTTAGACCACTTCTAAGTTTATATTTCTTTTCAATTATATTATCATTATAATACCACTTAATATATAGGCAGCCTTTAAGAAACAATTCCATATTTACACAATCATACTAATCTAGGTCTGTAGTGGAAGAGCCATATTGCTGGTGTATGGCGTTGTATGACAACTGATTGTGTTACAGTAGATACATTTCTGCATGCCTGACTACCTGCCTCCCTGTGGGGTGTGGTGGCAGGTATAGAGTGTCAGGATTTCACCAATGATACATAAATCTGTTTTAAGCTTTACTCATGTTTCGCTAGTAGGGAAAGAAATATGCATATTAAGTATCATACAGATATAACCATTCTTTTGTTATGACCATCTTCCTGATAATACTTCATCAATTTTCTGGTTAATTATTCACCCCAAAAGCTTCTGCCAGCACATTGGGGTATAAAACTTGTGTCTTGTGAACTTATATTCCCAGGAAATATCCGAAGTAGGAAAAAAGTAAATCCACTTCTGAATGCCATTAACAGAAGTCAGTGCAGTTTTGAAAGCATGTGTATTTTTAGGCCTTAAGTGTCTTATTTCAACAATTTTTTCTACATTAAACTGTGATCAAATATAGATCATGTTATGTTGCATTGCCTGCCAACAGGGTCATTTCTGGTCATTCTTTCTATTAATTCCCACAGACATCCTGCATTCTGAGCAGTAAAATCAGCATACATTTTTGTCTGTTAGCTCATGTTTGTCAACGTACTTTCTTCCTTATTCATTCAACTTAGAACTACCGTACTATTCATATTCCTGCAAAATCTCCATTTCCCCAGTGTATCAGTTGCACCTGGGTGATGTATAAAGGCTTTTTATTTTTTGATGCACCATCCTGGTTGAGCTCATTCCACTTTCCACCAATCTACCCTCCATGATTATTTAATTCAAACAGTCCTTTTTAATTCTGAGTTCTTTTCATTTTCATGGCTGGTATCCTAGTTCTGACCTTTCCGCATGGCTGAGTTACTGTGCAAGCATATGAACTGATATTCTCTCTCTTTAGTAACTCTTCCCTTTGCTAAATCTTTCATAGAGTTTGAACACCTTTTTCATAACATTTTAATTTGTATTTTTGGTTCAAAATCAATAATTTACTTTTTTTTTTTTGCCCAGCAACCTCTATGAAACCTACTTATCTTGGCATTCTAAAGTCAGTGAAATCCACTCCTAGTTTATTAACTCTCAATTTTGGCTTTTTTGGGGTGTCTTTTGCAATAGATAGGGCCATCTCTTAGTATACATTACACACCAATCCTTCGCTCATGGGCATTTCTACCTAAAACACTGACTTCTCTTCACTTTGTCTATCATCTCTCAAATTTTGTTTCATGTTTCTCTTTAACGACTTTAACCTCTATGTCCACTATTTTTTCTTTTCTTGACATGCTCTCAGCATCGTATTTTGGCACTCTTAATTGGACATTCAGGGCCCTGCTTGCTACCCTTGACTCAGAACTACATCTGAAACCACGTAAGGACACATGGAAAAGGCTCTTCATGAGTAACTGATTGTTCATGCACTAACGAATGGCTCCGAAGAAGTTAGGCACACATTTTTGTCTTCTAGTATTTGATGCTTACCTCCTGCTCTACCTATAAGTACAGTACAGTGATAAATTAGATAGTCACATAATGGGAAAGAAGAGTTCTGTTTGCCTCACGTCCTCCCCTCCCCTCCAGGAGAAATTGCACCACCTGGCAAAGCTTTAAAGGAAGGACAGAAAGATGAGCCAGTTACACCACTTTCCAACAAGTCCTATTCATTGGACTGGTATGGGACCTCTCTAGCACTGAATTACATGTGCACTGAAAATGTTTCAAATAACTGAGTCTCCAGGGAAAATATTGAAAATGTCAGGGGAACTGAAAAATGCCCTCTTCCCAACCCTGCCCTTCTACCTCCATTATTTTTTGCCATTTCTTCCTCCATGAAATTTTCTTTATCAGTTTTTCATATTTCCTGAATTTTTAAATTTGTGTTAATTTACTATTTTAGAAGTAAAGCCCCATTTATTGCGAAGTTATATTGTAAAATAGCATTCCCTATTTTAAAAACACATACCCTATGATGAAAGTAATTTGTAAACATAAACTATCATTTTAATTACCCAGATTGTATTCAGGTTTCTAGAAATTTGCTCATACTCAGGATTCTTAGAAGCCTGTGTAATTTTTATCTCCTTTGTCATTAAACATTAAAATAAAATAGCCATTCGAACAATTAAGCCCTTACCACAGAGTTAAAGGCCAGGAAAATAAATGAAAGGTGTCATCAGACCTGTTTTCCTTCTTTGTAAACAGGATGTGAATAAGACAACGTAGCTAAGTCTCCTTTCCATTTTCAGAGACCTAGGGAATGAAGAAAACATTTCATTACCACTGCTTGGAAAACCTCACTGCTATTAAAGTATTCCAGTTACTTTCAACTCCCTTTGGTTTGTCCACATTAATTGCTGAACAATAGTTGGTATTTTCAAGTTGTAAAAAGGCATGAGGTTAGCACACCTAAACATGCTTTTATTCTTAAATCATCCTTCCTCATGTAAGCAACTTTTCTTCATAGCAAAGTTACACAAGGATTCTCAATGTTTGCCCTCTTTCTCTTGGCCCACATTGACTCCTATGGAATCAGTAGTCATACTATCTCTGCATTTTCTTTACTTCATTTGTATTTTCAACTTTTTTAGCAACCACACATTTTTTTTCTCACTCACAATACTTGCTCTTATTTTCCTGGATAAATATCCAGAAGTGGGATTTCTGGATAATATGGTAGTCCTATTTTTAATTTTTTGGTGTACCACCACTGTTTCTCACAGTGACTGCACCATTTTTGCATTTCCAACACAGTGTACAAGTGTTCAATCTCTCCTCATCCTAATCAGTACTTGCTATTTTTGTTTTTTATAATAGCCATCCTGACAGGTTTGAGGTGTAATGTCATTGTGGTTTTGAGTTGCATTCCCATGATAATTAGAAAATATGTAGTGAATGCTTATTCTCTGCAGACACTTTACACAGTGCTAAGGATGCAGCAATAAACACAATAGGCAACTTGCTTCCTCTGACAAGATATTTGGCATTGTTCAAGAGTCATCCTTTTTAGCAAAAAATTTCAGGAAGAGAAATATTTCTTAAGTAGCCAAATCTATAGAATCATTTCTAAATATGTAGGTATGGCTGATAATGGTCCAGTTTTCATTCAAATTTAAGAAAACTACTTTAGATCTTCTGCATTCTGTCATTTTCTCTAAAATAAAAACTGTAATATTAAAGAGACCTTATTGTCACTGAAAGAGATAGATGATTTTTGGACTATAATTGACATCTTCATATTTTCTGGTTGTTATATAGTTTAGTTATTGTATTTTCCAAATTTAGAGATTTTTCTGCTTTTGTCATCATCTTTTCTTTCTATGAGTGTGGTCACTCACATTCCAAGAGGACATCATAACAGCTGGAAGAACTAATCAGTGGATTTTTTATATTCTTCACCTTTTGATGACTTTTCCATCTATTTGATTTTCAAACCAGATGTCTGGTAGTTGCAGATAATTTGCACTGCTATTTTAAATAAAAAGTCAATAAATAACCCAGGAAACCTTTAAGAGAGATCAATAATATTATGACCTGATAACTCACTATCTTCTCGATGCTTGCATTAAAGGTAAAATAGGCCAGATAGACCTCACTACCTAGAGAGCTACTCAAAGGTATTACTTGAGGATTATCGGGTTGCATTATGAAGTTATGGATTTCCCCTTACAGCTCTGGTGTTCTTTAGAAGTTATGTTCAGCAAATATTTCATCACCCACACCTTACCTTTTCAGTCATTCTCATGCATAAGTTGTCAATCCATTTTCTCATTACTTGAGTAGCAGAAATGATATTCCTGAGAAATAGAGGAGTCCTAATCTTCCTTTTCTTATTGGATGAACAAGAAAAAATATATATATGCTGGGTCCATAAAACTAGCATTCAAATCAAAGCCATAATTATAGTTCATCTAATGTGTAAAATAATGGGTTGATATCAGGGTAGTAATTTAAACTGTCTATATATATATATATATATATATATATATATATATATATATATATATATTTTTTTTTTTTTTTAAGTAAATACATTTTGTCCCCAACATTTTTAGTGATAGTAAGTGTACTCATGAATCCCCATTGTTTCCCTTGAGAGCAGCCATGAGGCTGTGCACGGAGGAGTGCAGGGTCCTGGGACACTCTGACCAGTGCTGGATGCCACCGCTGCCCTCGCCATCCTCTGACTATCGGAGCAACATGTTCATCCCAGGGGAAGAATTCCCAGCGCAGCCCCAGCAGCAGCACGCACACCAGGGTCTTGAGGATGACGCCCAGCCTGCGGAGTCCGGGGAGAAGAAGAAGAGTTTTTCCACCTTCGGGAAGGACTCCCCCAAAGAGGAGGACCCTGGGGACAAAGGCACGTCATCTCTGCTCTCAGAAATGAGCAGCGTGTTCCAGCGTCTCTTACCCTCTTCCCTGGACACCTACGCTGAGGCCAGCGAGGTGGATAGGTCCAACTCTCTGGAACGTCGGAAGGGACCTCTGCCAGCCAAGACCGGGGGCTACCCACAGGGTGTGGCGGCCTGGGCGGCCAGTACGCATTTCCAGAATCCCACCACCAGCTCTGGGCCCACCCTGGGGACCCACTCCAGTGTGCAGCCATCGGCTAAATGGCTGCCGGCCATGGAGGAGATCCCCGAAAACTATGAAGAAGATGATTTTGACAATGTGCTCAACCACCTCAACGACGGGAAGCACGAACTCATGGATGCCAGTGAGCTGGTGGCCGAGATTAACAAACTGCTTCAGGATGTCCGCCAGAGCTAGGAGGTGTGGGTCAAGCGTTTTGGTTTCCAGGTACATGGAAGCAGGGGACGGAGAAAACCCTGAGAGAACTGGCATTGCCAAATCGTTGCATTTATCATAAATGTGTCTGTGTATATTGAATATTAAATACTGTATTTTCGTATGTACACAATGCAAGTGTGATGACTTCAATCTGTATTTTAAAAATACATTTGTACCTTATATTTATGTGTAATTTAACAGACAAATTTTATTTTTTTACTCCCATGACAAACATGTCTTTCCTAGTCACGTAGGAAGTAGCCACTGTTCAATTACGATATACTATTCAACCATAAAGTATAAAGACACTGCTTAGACTAGTTACTTTGGGGAAGAAATTATTATGCCGTAGGAACAACCCCACTAAAGCATTATAGAATTCTTACTTCTATTAAGGGATCCAACTTCTTTTTCAATACTTTTTTATAATTAAGCATCAATAAAGATGTTAAACTTTTATTACTGTTGTTATTATTATTTTTACTGCTCTCTGCTAGTTCTGATAGTTCAATTCTCACAGCAAAATTGAAACATGAGGTGAAATGTTATTTCAGAACTAGGCAGTCTCTTTCACAGTCAATAATGAAAATAGAACCAGAGTCAATTTTTCCTAACTCCCAGGCCCCTGCTATTCCAGGAGATCATACTGGCCTGTTCTTGAGAATATTTCCCCTAAAGTGTTATTGTCTATTTATAATCAAAGTAAATGATGAATTTCATTCCATCCTCAAGAGATGTGCTCCAAGGAAATGGACTCTATCCTTTAAATGGGTAACCGTATGTATGTATTCTAACAGCATGAAGTATTAATGGACAAAGGCAATTATGTCAGTATCCCTCGTGGGGTAGTAAATGTAATTGATTTATGCTAAAACTGCTCTATTTGAATCTTCCCCTCTCCGTTCACAATACTTGAACATTTTTATCTTTGCAATGTTGTTGTTGTGTTGTTGTTGTTGTTGTTTTTTTGCTACAGTATTCACTTTTAGCTTTTGTCTTCAGTGCATGATCTTATATTTTTGCTTTTATATTTAGTATAAGAATGTTTATAAAATTACATTTTTGCTATTGCAATTCTGTTTTATTTGTTGTGTGACAAATGGCAAACTATTTATTGTGCTGTTATCTCTCTGTGTGGAATGCTTTGGTAAAAGAGATCGTGATTATGATTGTTCTCATTTATGACCAGGTTTCTATTAGTGTTATTTCCATGAATACACCATCTTGATTGTACTCTCCAAAAAATATTACTGTCAATGAAAATAGAAGAAAAAAAATAAAGAAAAGCTAAAGAACTGTCCATAAATCAGAGTCCTATTCCTATATATATTTATGTTCAAAAGCTTTGCAGGAAGCATATCCTTCATGAGGAGATAATTCAGTGTTAGGTTTTGAATGATATGGAACATTCAGCCCACAGGTGTGTCTCAGTGTTTAAATTTGACCCATGAACCAGGAGGCCAGGGCACATGCCTCGGTTGTGGGCTCAATCCCCAATAGACAGCTATCAATTTTTCTTACCGTTGATGTTTCTATCTCTCTCCCTTCTCTGAAATCAACTAAAAAAAAAACCCTACACATTTAATTAAAAAAAAAAAAAGAACATTCAGCTGGCTTGGCTAACAAGAAAAACGCAATGGAAAAGGATTGAATTTGAGACCTGTAATGGGAATTAAAAGAGTCTACAATATTCCCAGTAGATTAAATAATTTAAATGCATTTGAAGTATAAAGAAAATGGAGCAATCATATAGTAATTGCTTTACCACTTTTTAAATAAAAAAATATGTCTCAGAACATTTTGTACTAAGTTGTGTTGGGGGGGGGGAAATGTACTCTTACAATGTTTCTGTGGGGAAGAAAGAAAATTTACCCTCCAAGTTCTTTCAGCTAGTCTAATGATTAAATCTATATGAGGTTGATTAACAGGAGAAAATGATCAAATGTAATTACATATGTGTGCTTGGGAACCTCATATACATAATAGGCCCAGAGACAGAAAGGAAAAATAAGGCATATGTGACATTCTGAGCTCCAGATGAGGGAAAGCTTGTTGGGTCATTATAGGATGATAAGAACAGATGTGTTGTAATTAGTAGTTCGCCCTGCCACATAGATAGGTCCCCAAAAAACGTTATATTTAATAATCTCTTACTATGGTATGGGAAAGACCCCTAATTCAAATTCTTCTAGTAGTTGGGGTTGGGGTTGCAGGTGGGAAAACAGAAGTTTCTCTTGAGCACACTGCGACTCAGTTGCCTTTAGTTAAAAATAACCCACATTCTGAAACGTAGCATTTCTAAGAGATGAAAATATTATCCTCATCGCCTTCCTAGTGGGAATTGAAATACCAGGAAAGTAGAATAACCTAAATGTGGTTAGGTAGTTCAGATATTTTAATTTTCAAGTGACTACCAACCACATCAAATAGATGTGTTAGGTCTTTCAAAGGGCACATTTTACCTCTTTATAGGGGGGATTGCAATTTCACTTGAAATTTTCGTTTATTTTTCAGTAGATTACACACACAAATGCTAACCACATTTAAAGACATTCTGACTTTCAAATCCACTCTTTCAGCACACATTATCATTTAAAAAAGACTTTCATAATTGTTCTATTCTTAAAGCACCAACAATGATTTAGGAAGCAACGCTGGAAATCAATGTTTATGTGAAGCACAAGAAATGCAGTGTTATTTCAACACAAGAGCTTTGTATACTGCCCATATAGTAAGCATTCCATGTCTCACACTACTTTCTGCTTCTCCACTCTTCTCCATGCCCACAGGTTAAGGGATATTAGTGTAAGATGTTTGTTTTTCACTGCTGTTCCTTTCACAGGTAATATTATCTCAGTGAAAGCTGGAATGTTTGTACTATCATAGCAACCTAACCTCTCTTCACATTTACATGGCCTCTTCTTTGATATCACACCCCTCCTCAGATTCAAACAACCAAAAAGCACTAAATCAGAGAGATTCTTTTCTCGTTCATTAGTTCTTTATCTCCTTGGCCACATTCAATTCCTTTAAATGTTCTTCAATGATAATCATTTACTAAGGGAAGCATTTTCTAAAAATGTAATTCAACACCTAATCTATGGTTAGCCAATCTTCCCTTTAAGTGATTGTTTATAGTATGATTAGATTGTTTATGGGATGATTAGAATTATTACAAGTTATTAACTTTGCTATTCTCTTTTATCAATTCTTTCCTTCTTGGTATTTAACAGATAAGGCCTATAACTTTATTGATCATTTAAATTATTCTACTTTCTGTCACAGATATATAAAATTGACCACTTACCAATAGATAACTATTAAGGCAAAATATGGGTTACTGTTCTGTTGGTATCACAAAGAACAGTTGGTAGGAATAAACTTTAAATAAAAAAAAAAGAATTTATTTTAAAAATTAGTTGTGTGGGTGAAAAAATGCATTACCTGACATAGCATCTTTCAGTCGTGAATGAACTCAAAGGACTTAACCAAGACAGTTTAGGAAATTTGCCAAACTATTGAAAAGATTTTGATGTTTCCATTCTAATTCAATATATCTGAAATTAGCAGTATCACATCACAGTATCAAAGAGTAGAGACACAATGAACTCTGGACTGGCAATAAACATTGCTTTATAAAATTAAATTCAAACCATACAAAAGTCTTAAAAAATTATGTTGAGTTTTAAAAATAATAAAAACAGTGAAGGCCATTCAAAAGAACCAACAGATTCACCTCCTTAATTGTAGGCTCAGTTTTTATAAAACAACATAATTTTACATGCATATGTTGTCTTTTATATATTATAAAATCATAAGATGCCCTACTGATTATAATTATTTAATATACTAGGATGTCTAACTTTGAATAAAAAAATAATAATTCTCTATGGCTACATAGTTTTAATTTAATAAATTAGTCTGAAATCCATTTTATTCATTTTAGTTTATAGCACAAACCGGTCCCGGCAGTAAGTCACTTTTTGAAATAACTGAACAATATCTAAAGTGCTGCATTATGATTGTAGAAACATTATTGGCCAAATTGTGCTTTCATTGTTCATGTGTGTAACTGAGCTCATAGCAAAGCATACATACATACATACACTGTATGCCAGAAATAATAGGACCTTTAATGTAATCTAAACCAAAAAACTATTGAACAGATACACACAGTATAATATATCTGAATGTGAGTGCATATACTTCTCATTAATTTATATGTTCATTATATTCTAGCTTATACAATTTGTAGAGCTGTTAAAAGAATTATATGGGGAGCTGGCATTGCAAAAATTGCTGCCAAAATTTACCTACTTCCTGACTTTTAAAATTGCAATGCCACATACTACCCTTCTTCTTTAAAATAATAGTTTTCTATTTCCTTTTATGACTTCTGCAAGTTGCTCCTAATTCTTGTTTGCTTTTTCAGGTTTTATCTCTTCAATTTATTTATTTTATGATACTCCTCCTTGGTCATTTATACTACTGTCCACATTTTATAGGAGTCTCCTCCACATTTTTGCATGTGTATAGTACTTCATATAACCACCTAGATTTTATCATTTTTGGGGTATGTTTTCTTTGTTAGTATGACAGGGATTATGTTTTTGAGATATGAAGCTAATAACTTTTCAACCTTCATTTCTTTTGTTCTATATTTTAAATCAAAGGTTTTTGAGTGCTTAGGGAGACACCAGTGTAGAGAACTTGAGTTACTGAGGGAGGAAATTGTGTTGTTATTTTTTAAATATGTGTATTTCTAACTGAATATGTTAAGGGTCGAATTGGGAAAGGTGATGTGGAAATTTTACTATAAGCCAAAGTGAAGTGCCAGAAAATGAATATTAAGAAAGGGCTGTTGCCACAGAAAAAGATAACTTAGGTAATTGCTGAGAGCATAAAGCACCAGAGGTAAGTAAATTGGGAAGGGTACAATATCGGATGTCAGTGTCTTCATTATTCCCACCTCCAGTGCTCTTTAAAATAAGCTGCAGAACAAAGCAATGCTTTTGTGGAAGATGTTTCTCCTTTTTCTGTCATCCCCTCTACCCTCACCCCCCGCAGAGGAGCGCGCACATGGAAGGAGGAGGTGCCCAGGTGTGGGCTCTGGGGTAGCAGCTCACCTCCTCACTGCCTTTGAATGGCCTATCGAAGATTCAGACGTTTTCCCTCCCCCAAATGGGGAGGAGCTGACATTATAAACTGTATTACATTTCAGAGTGCCTTTATCTAAATAAAGATAGGCTTTCTAAAAAAGCTCTATTCTGGTTCAGGCCAGTGTTAGATTCATAGCAAAATTGAAAGCAAGGCACATTCCTGTTTCATTTAAAGGCACATTCTGCACCTTAAAGTAATAACCACAAAATGTTCCAGACAGAGGAAGCCCAGACTTTTCCTTTGGAAGCGGACCTTTTGTGTTAGATAGGGTTTTAGGTTCCAAATAATCTACACAACTTCCAGTAAATCTTGTTACATGGGATGTAACATATCACCAAAAACGCAATTAGGAATGCTTCATGGGTTCTAACCAGAAAACATATTTTGCCAGTCCATGCCTTATAATTTGGATCTCTTCTGCAAAGTCTTGCTTAGGGGCTGTCAGTGCAGATTTTGTGAACTGCCTGTACAGATTTGCAGTAATTGCTGAGAGTGTATGGTTGCAAATACATGAGAATGTCACTTAGAAATGAACAAAGTATCCTTGTAGGAACTAAATGATACAAAAAACCAACTACTACAACTAACTGAGTCCTTCACTTCTTTTTCTCTCTTCCCTTTATCCTTGGTGACATCTGAGTAAAGGAGCAACATATAAAATATTACTCGCCTTAGGTGATTTGGCTCAGTGGATAGAGCATCAGCCTGCAGACTGAAGGGTCCAGGGTTTGATTCCAAACATGCCTGGATCGCAGGCTCAATCTCCAGTAGAGGGCATGCAAGAGGCAGTTGATCAATGATTCTCTCTCATCGTTAATGTTTCTATCTATCTCTACACCTCCCTTCTTCTCTGAAATCAAAAAAATATATATTTTAAAAGCAACATTCCTTAATTCAACAAATATGTTTATATACACACAATACACAATACACACACACACACACACACACACACACACACGGCTCAGTGCACAAATTCGTATACCTTGAAAGGAGCTGTGGGCCATGAGGCTGTGGTAGACACAGACTTGGGTCTTGCCCCATCCTCTGCACCCCTACCCAATCCCTCCCACCACAGCCCCCTGTCTGCTGGATGCCCCACTCCCACCATCGCTGCTCCCACCACGCACTGATGGCACCAGCCCC